GCCTTGAGATCCTACCTGACTTCCCTTCATAATAGACTGCGACTGTAAACTGACATATATTCTTTCCTCCCCAAGTTACCTTTAGTCATGGTGTTTTATCACTGCAATAGAAACATAACTAGGGCAGTGCCCTACCCTGTTTCTGGGTCAGGTTAAATAAACATGGCTTATCTAAGAAGACATCATCATATGCACTGATCAACTCACGTCCTAAGTGACTCTTACTTGCAAGATAACTGCCCAAGACTCTGTTGAGGTGAATAGACTCTAAGGCAATATGTTGATAAGATCAACTATTTGCCTGGCAAATAAATACTCCTGCCTTCTTTCAATGGATACTAAAACTTTCCTTTTGGGTCCTTATTCCTTTTAATGATTGCCTGCCTTTTGTGAATCGCCCAGTCTCACGTATAAGGAAGCTAGCCACACCTTTTCTAGAAACTGTTTTTGCAAAGTGTTCACCTCGAACTTTACCCTTGCTTAAATTCTGACTTTTGCCATAGTTTTGGATTTTGTAATTAAACAGTGTTTGGAGGAAGGGGCCTCTGAAATTTTCATTTGTTGTTTTGATATTCTCACAGATTCTGATGTGAGACAGACCTCCTCCATTCACAGACAAAACTACTGCACTCTCTCTTGGATCAACAGTATCCCCACCTCCGCTTTAAGGCATATGTTTCTGTGTGTACATGTTCCTGAAATGAAAATAATAAAAGGAGAGATCCCCCTCTTTGGACATGGGGCCAAATAATTCTTCTGAATAATATTTGTCCTCTGTAGTTATTTCTGTTTATGACAATAACAAGAAATTCACAACACCCACTGAGAAATTTCCTGCAGAGGTGGTGCTCTTGGCTTCCACCTTAAACCCAATAACAGCTAACACTGAAGTAGCCTAGTTCAGATTCCATGGATTCCCATTTCAGGAGAGGCTAATACCCAAATGTGGTGTATATGTCACTGTGCCTTTAAAAACCACTATTAAGAAGTGCAGCACAGGCTGTGTGCTCAGAGCTTTGGGACCTGGAGGAACCTGTCCACCTGAGCAAAAGGATCACCCAACACCAGGATGAGGTCAGGGTAGACAGGGAATGTCTTGCCCAGTCTAGTTCAGAATTGGGAACTCAAAAAAACATAGGGAGAGGGGTGTGGAGAAATGCCTCAGTCAGTAAAAGTGCTTCCTGAGCAAGCATGAAGACCTGAGTTTGAATCCAAGCACCTACTTTTAAAAAGCCAGGGATGGATGTTATGCCTGTAACCCCAGGTTTCAGGGAGAGGGAGACAAGAAGATCTCAGAAGCCAGTTGGCCAGACAGCCTAGCCAAAATGGCAAGCTTCAGGCTCATCGAGAAGCCCTGTCTCAATGGAATAATGTGAAGAAAGACAGAGCAGGGCACCAAACATCCTCCTATGGTCTCCATCCACATGCTCACAGGGCCACATATTTATCCACACATGTGTACACACATGCATACACCACACACAAAAACTTTTTTTTCCAACGCATATTTAGTTTCCTCGGGTTTTTGCTTCTTTCTCCTTTATGTTTTGTTTTCGAGACAGAGCCTCGTTATCTGGCCTTGGTTGTCCCAAAGTTCACTGAGGAGACCAAGCTGGCCTCAAACTCAGACATCTGTCTCTCTCTGCTTCCTGGCTGCTGGAATGTGAAAGGTGTGTGCCAGCCTGCCCAGTTTAATGATCTTCCTTTCTTTCAATTACTCTTTTAGAAATAAAACTGACAACAGGGCAATGCATAATTATGGACAATCAGACACTTTTTCCTGAGAACTCACTTTTAGGCTGTATTTTACCTGGGGCCACTTTAAGGCAGGCAGTATTAGCACAAGAAAGCTGACAAGAGAGATGGCTCAGTAGTTAGAAGCACTTATTGCTCTTGCATATACCCTGGGTTCACTTCCCAGCACCCACCTGGTGGCACATAGCACATCCACATTCCGGTTCCAGGGGATCTGATGCTCTCTTCAGACATGGTGCACACACAAACATACAGGGAAAACACTCATACAGATAAAATACAAGAAGTAAATCTTTATATATGGTGGTGCTTGCCTTTAATCCGAGCACCTAGGAGGCAGAGGCAGGAGGATATCTGGAAGTTTGAGGCCAGCCTGATCTACAGAGAGAGTTCCAGGACAGAGAAACCTTGTCTTGAAAAAAAATAGAGAATGGTAATTTTTCCTGTAACTTGGCACCAAACAGAGACTAGAAGATGAACAAAAATTGTCTTGAATGGATTTTAAATTATTATAATACAATTCTGCAGTTACATTCATTTTTGCAAAACAGAAGGCAGAGGATGAGGATTTTTATGTTCAGATAGTCATGTCACTATACCAAAACCCCAAATTGCAAGGAATTTTCAAGACTTGTTGTTGACAGGATTCTGTGGAGAATTCAACAGTGATTCCTCTCCGCTCAGTAGTTCGAAATCCCTATACATTTTTAACATAGGTTTCAGAGTAATTTTTTTCTTAATCTTTCAAGACAGGGTTTCTCTCTTTAGCTTTGGAACCTGTTCTGGAACTGGCTCTGTAGACCACTGTGGCCTCACAGAGATCCACCTGCCTCTGCCTCCCAAGTGCTGAGATTAAAGGTGTGTGCCACCACCATCAGAGGAAATTTCCTTAACTTAGAGGGTGCTTTCTTTGGGTATTCCATGTCCTAACTCACAGTATCTGTTTGTCTTTGAAAATACTGATCCTGACACTATGAAAAAAAAAGAACTCAATATACTTGGAAAATATAGCCAGAAAATTCAGTGAAATTCTTCACCTATTTGGAAATGTATTAGCCAAATAATTAAAGTCCCTAACTCCAAAGAATTGGAGTTTACTTTGGTATGTAGGTGATCTTATGTGTAGTCTCAAAAACTTAGATTTTGATAAAAAGAACTATGCAAGTTTCGTTTCTGAAGGTTTCAGGTCAATAAATATATTCACAAAAAGCTTAAATGTCTCACAAAAGGGAAAATATTTAGGACATACACAAACTCCTAAGTGCTGAGTTAGTTTTCCAAGTTAGTAGGTTCTAGAATCTAGTACAGCGATTCTCAACCTTTCTAATTTTGCAACCCTTTTAACACTGTTCTTCATGTTGTGGTGACTGCCAATTATAAAATTATTTCATTGCCCCAAATACCATGATCCAACATAGTAGCATTTTCATAAAGCTTTTATAGTACAAAAGCAAAGCAAGTCATAAATCAAAGTACTTTTTAAAAAATATATTAGTACAGTGGTTCTAAACCTTCCTAATGTCCTAACGCTGTGACCTTTTAATACAGTTCATGTTGTGGTGACCCCCAACCATAAAATTATTTTCGTTGCTAATTCATAACTGTAATTTTGTTACTTTTATGAATCATAATTAATTATCTGTTTTCTGATGGTCTCAGGTGACCCTTATAAAAGGGTCATTCCCTCCCCCCACCCCACCCAAAAGGGTCGAGATCCAGAGGTTGGAAACCTCCGGATTAGTGGAAACAGAAAAGATTCTGTTATGGGTTTCAGATACTGTCTGATAGTGATCAGTTTTGGGTTGTTGGAAGCTAGGAACCTGGTGGTACATTCCAAAAATGATTTTACTTGATAGTTACAAGGATGTTAGGTCAAACACAGATGAGAACAAATGGCTATTACAAGGGCAAAAGATAACCAAGATAATTTGATTCCGGACCAGCAACACTCCAGTTCCTTACAACCAAAAAGTTCCGGACAGTCAGTGTTACAGAGCCCTTAATGCAGACACAGTTTCCTTCTCTTCTAACTGCAATCCACACAAGCTGGCTTTGCTCATCAGAATAACCCGAAGTTATTTTTGCTTCCTGCTTATTTTGCAACAGAGAAATGCCTAGGACAAGAGAGGGGGAGGAGAGAGGGGAGAGGAGAGAGGGGAGAGAGGAGTGAGGGAGTGAGACAGAGGAGAGACATGGAGACACACACACACACACATACACACAGAGACAGAGACAGAGAGAGAGAGGAGAGAGAGAGGAGAGAGAGAGAGAGAGACCTGGAGTTCTGAAAAAGCCCACGTTAGCTTTTGCCTTACATTTATTTGGCACTTCGATATAATGTATTGGTTCTTTATTTGCGCCTCAATTACCTATCATGTGCCAGGCATCATTGCAGGAGGTGAAGACACACCAAGAGCCTAGGGGGAAAACAACAGAAACAAAGCAAAACAAAGCACATAAAAGGGAAGTCCAGCTTGCTTAAAACTGGAAAGTTGTTTTCGGCAAGGAAAAACAACGGTGTGTGTGTAGTGGCGTGAGGGAGAGACTTGTAACAGATAAAGAAAATAAGGCGCTTTGTACAACTCTGCAGAGTGACTTAGGTCCTCAGGGAAAGGTAAGATGTTAATTTGTGTTATAAATCGGGGGGTTACAAGGAGGCAGAAGTGAGGGACAAAAACACATTCATTCAAAACGAATGAATTTATAGCAGAAGAGGACAGAACACATTCTCAGAGAGACCCCCCCAAGGAGCATCTCCAGTTCTCTCCAGGTTACCAGCCAGGGAAAAAGAAGCGGGATGCGCCTGCGCAGTGCGAGCCACTGCGTGGACGCCGGGGGCGGGACCCGCGCGGCCCAGCTGGAGCTGGTCCAGGCTCCTCGTTAGGCCACGCCCCTCTAGTGTCTCGCCTCCGGATTGGCCCGGGCGGGGGCGGGGCCCAGAGCCCGGAAGTGCGGCTGACGTGTCGGGGCCGCGCTCGGAATTGTGGGCGACTCGGCTAATGGCGTCGG